AATATACAATTCTCTCAATATTAAAAAAATAAGAAAAAAAAAAAATTAAAGTTTAAAAATAGCCGTATATGCTAATTTTTAGTTGTTAAAAAGAAAAAAAAAATATAACTACATTTTACTTTTACATTTATCAAAACTGTCACAAAAAAAAAATAGCACGTAACTTTTTTATTTCCTTTTTTTTTGTATAAAATAAAAACATATCACAAGATTTAGCATTTTATACTCCGTACGTTAAAACTTTTCTACATTAACTTGGGAAATTTTTTTTTAATAATAAAATCTTATAGCCATGGAATTTATAAATTAATAAAATATAAAATATATTTTAAATTTATCACATAAATTACCCACGTTCAATATACAATTATCAAAAATCCCTGATTATTTGCCACTATTGTTATCTACTTTATTTATTTATTATTTTTTAAAAACAAAACCACCCACTTCTTTTTTTTTGTTTTTTAATATAAAAAAAAAACTACTTTGTCAGTAGTTTAAAGATAACCGTATATACTAAATTTTAGATGTAAAAAAGAAAAAAAATAATTACATTTTATTTTTAAATTTATCAAAACTGTCACAAAAAAAAAAAAAACCCATAGCACGTAACTTTTTTTATTTCTTTTTTTTTTCATAAAATAAAACCATATCACAAGATTTAGCATTTTTATTGGAATCAATACCAAGGTGTTTAATTAGGATGGTGGTTGATTTATTTTCCAAAAATCATCATAAAGGTTTGCGCTAATCGATGCTTGATCAGTTGAGTTGGTTGATTACCAATTTTTCGTTAGGTGTTTTTTGGGTTTGGTTTTTGTTGAGCATGCAGTTGCTTATTCGGTGTTGAATAGTTAGTGATCAAGTTGCCTGAATAAAAAGGTTTGGGTTATCAATTGAGGTGTGACCTGTCTTTCTGATTGATTGCCAATTTTTTAGAATTTGATTATTGACGGTTGAATTATTGTTGATTTCGTTTCCGAATATCATCAGAAAGGTTTCCAAGATTGGTTTTATCTCCTCTAGAGCTGTTTTGCTTTGCCGTTTTTTAATATACAATTCTCTCAATATTTTTTTACCTATCCACTTCTCTCCAAACATAAAATTATCTTCAATCTTTACTATTTGTAATTGTTCATTTACTATACTAACATATTCTATATTTAAAAAAAAAATTATTTCATATAATTATAAACCATTAACCACAGTTGCCATACCTTCAATCGAGTAATCATCTGATCCTTCTTCGTTCAAGTTGTCTTCTATTTTTTTTTTTTCAAATAAAACAATAGTAGTCGGCTGCTTTATTTTATTTTTCGTATAATTGATTATCATAATATTGGTTGAATTTGCAAGGATTGTTGATTGTTTGACTATGGTGCACATCAATAATTCTCCTTTATTCGAACTCAAGTAGGATTGCATATTCACGAACGCTAATTTTTGTGCACAACTGACATTATCCTTACAAAGGTAAACCATTTACTGCAATTCTAGATTAATTTACTTATTAAACAAGTTACAAAAAGTTTATAGAATTTTTATACACCTTAGTAAATTAATTAACTATGAAACAATACAAATAAGACTGCACGAACACCAACAAAACATTTGAAACATCCAATACTAAATTTTTAAAATACATTCCATTCTTTACCTAAAAGTTGCTCAGTTATTATAGTAGCACTCCTACTCTGCCACAACTAGAAACAAGTGATGAGAAGATGATAGAGATAACACAAATATGGGGTATGATAAAGGGTTAAACAATGAATACGGAATATAATTGACTGTAAGACTAGGAATTATTTGTCGGGGAAGTAGAGAGAGTCACAAAAGTCAATAACGTAAAAGGGATAAGTGAAAAATGACCAATTAAATTAGTTAACATTCGGAGATAAATCTAATAACACAGAATAAATAGTACCATGCAACATAATTGGGGACCGCATGAAATGAACCATTAAGACGTTATGAAAGTACTGTTGTTTAGACACAAAAGAAGTACCTTCTCATGACTTTTTTTTTTCCACCCAAAAGGTTTATAAAAATCCAAATTGCCAAAAATAACATACAATAAGGAATCAAAGTCAAACTCAGTATAACATGATCTTCTATAAAAATTCATCGAAATGATAAATTCTATTTTCTTTTTTTATCCATTTATAACCTTAGCAAAAAACATTTACCTGCATTTTTCCAACCATCAACCTCATATAAATATACCAACAAACCAACATTGCTAAATTAAAATGACCAACATTGCTATATTAAATTGTTCACTCTACACAATTTAGATTTTTATATCATGCACCTTTTTTATAGCATTTCGTTATTATAATTTAATTTACATTATTTACTTTTACTTATAAATTTTTATGTTAATAGATATGGAAAATCATATGTCATCTACGTCATACTATCGAAATTTGACACGGAGAAGGATGACACCGGAACAACTAGAACAAGAAGCTATTGCCCGAAATACTCGAAGGCGGACTACTTATAATTTAAGGAGGAATTCTCGACAACAAGCCGGTTCTTCTACTTATAATTTAAGGAGAAATGCTCGACAACAAACCGGTTCTTCTACTCTATCGGATATTACTAATCAAGACATCACAACTGGCAACTACACTACTTCAAATCGTGCTTCAAGTTGCACACGTGAGTTGAGTAATACTATGTTTATAGCCTTCTTGACATTGTTTTTGTAATTAAATACAGTTATTGTCCTTTTATATGACATCAATATGTGTTGATTACAATTTTAACAACATATATAATTGTTTATTATATAGTAATCCATTTGTATAAAATCGAGAAATATATAGTTTTTACAATTTTGGTATAAATTGGTTAACTTATGCCTAACAAAATTAGTTTCTCTACTATTTTATAGAAACCATTATAATGTGCGTACTAAAAAAATTGCATTACTAATAATGATTATATTAAAAATTATTAACTATATCACATAATAATTTTTTTTAAAAAAACATTGGCCCATTTACCCTTAAACGGTTTGAAAATTATGGTTGCGGCAATTTACACATGGTCTTTCATTACCAAAATAATTCTCTTTATGATTTGCAAATAGAGCATGCATCATATCATGTGAAACCATTGGCATTACATTAATATCAACCAAGTAACCAATAGTAAATTAATATTTTTGTAAATAGTAAAGATATATGGATAGTTAATGAAGTACAATAATATAAAAAAAAATATTGTCTACACTAATTCAAGATATAGTTAAAACATAAGATACGAAGTGAAATATAACAAAATACACTGTAACATTTAATGAGCCATGTTGCTCTTGATTATGCAGCACATTTTGATTCTTAAGCATCAAATGGTCTAAGATCCAAATTTTTGTTTTGCAAGATGAACAAAAATACATTAACTTAGTAAGAAGCTTGATAAAGTTAAATATAAAAATCATGTGACATGTTGTTTTTTATCATCAAACATACTAAATAAATTTAATTCATAATCCAGCAATTCAAAATGGTCAAAATGTCATATCGCACAATTCTACATGTTTTGGTCAACGAAGTAACCGAGGTGGTAGTACAAGTTTTGGCAACAATGGCATTCAAGAGGTCTTAGGTCCTAATTCCATGCATAGCAACAATGTTCAAAGAAATAAAGAAAGAGTATGTCATCTTTGTGCAATAAACATTCATGAGCAAAGAGGAGTCCCGACCGTTCAATTATCACCTCCGAGAACATGTACATTTTGCCAAGCTCGCCTTTTTGATAATTAAACATCCCAAATATGTTGTTTGTCTAGGAGGATTACCTTGCCAACCTTACCTGTTCCTGAAGATCTACGTTCTTTATATAATGATCAAACACCTATTGGATTGCATTTTAAGCGTGATATCAGAAAAATTAATCACTTATTTGCTTTAACATCCATGGGAGTGCACTTAGTTGAGAGCTTAGCAAATGCTCAACACGGAGTATATACTTTTCGAGCTCAAGGTTCTATATATCATAAGAAAGGCGGACTACTCCCATCTACATCAGAATCTCAGCCACGATTTCTTCAGTTGTACATATATGACACTGAGCACGAGGTTGAGAATCGTCTTGCAGAGAATAGCACATTACGACAAGATATTGTAGAACGAGTTAAAGCCATTCTTGATCAATGCAATCCTTTTGTTCATAATCTTCGAAGTTTGGCTCAGCAAGAAAACGTACAAGATTGTGCCCTCCGAATTAATGAACAACCATCAGATCGACCGCAATATTGTCTTCCTACTGCTTCTCAAGTTGCGGCTATGATTGTTGGTGGAGAAGAAGTTGCAAACTTAAATCCAAGGGATATTTTAGTTCAATCAACTTCTGGGCAATTAATGACTGTGTTGGATACTGCTGGATACTATGATCCTCTTCAGTATCCATTACTCTTTCCATATGGTTCCTATGGATGGTCGATAAATAGTCTCGATAATAATGGAAGAACCATACCTTGCCGAGCATTCTATGCCTATATCATTCAAGTAAAGTACACCCCACTCACATATTATCACATGGATATATATATTCTTTTCTCATATTTCAATGGTATTTTATTGATTGTAGGTACGACAATGTGTCATATCCATCATCTTAATGGCAGGGCGCTTATTTCAACAATTCATTGTTGACATGTTTGTGAAAATTGAGGCAAATAAGCTAAGGTGGATTCAAGATAATCAAAATACAATTAGAGCTGAATTGTATCAAGGACTTCAAGATTGTTTAGATGTCGGAGAACTCAATCCAGGTTCTTTTCTTAAATATTTTGTTTGCCTTTAATTTTAATTTTACTATTATTATGTATATAAAATAATGAATGGTACATTGTAATTATAGTGAATGTCGGAAAATCAACCATTCAACCTTCTTCGTTTGTCGGGTGTCCAAGAGACATGAATCAAAGATTTCAAGATGCAATGGCATAAGTTACACATTATGGAAAACCAGACCTCTTTTTGACAATGACATGCAACCCATCATGGAGAGAAATTGTAGACGAGTTATTGCCAGGTCAAACAGCACAAGATCGTCCCGACTTGATCACCAGAATATTCCATGCAAAATTTGAGGAATTCAAGATGGACGTTGTAGAAAAAGGCGCTCTTGGGAAGGTTATTGCCTATGTCTATGTCATTGAGTTTCAAAAAAGAGGCTTGCCACATGTTCACATGCTGCTCATTTTGGACGAAATAGATAAACCAAAATCTCCGGAACAGTATGACACATTTGTGAGAGCCGAGATACCTGAGAGAGATGAAGAACCACGATTATACGATGTTGTTTTGAAGCATATGATCCATAATCCGTGTGGTGAAGGTCGTCGAAATTCTTCTTGCATGGAAAATGGGGTTTGTAAACGTAAATTTCCTAAACCCTTTGTAGTAAGTACAGTCCAAGGCAAGAACTCATATCCTATTTATCGTCGTCATGGTGATCGTCCTCCTGTACCTTTACATGAGAATAGTGCAACCTTCGTTGATAATGGTTGGGTTGTTCCATATAATTCATGGTTGCCATTAAAATATGATTGTCATGTCAACGTAGAGATCTGTAGTAGCATCAAGAGCGTCAAATATTTGTACAAGTATGTGCATAAGGGTGTAGATCGTGTTTCAATGGAAGTTCGAGCAGGGGCTGAATACAATGAGATTCAAACAATATGTGGATGCTAGGTGGGTATGTGCACCTGAAGCCTTATGGAGGATATATCAGTTTCCCATTACTCGAATGTGTCCATCTGTTGATCGATTACAACTACATTTACAAAATCGGCAAATGGTTAGATTCAGTACAAATCAATCTATTGAAGATATCCTTCAGATGCCACAAAACTCTCGAACTATGCTCACAGAGTTCTTCAAGATGAATTCCTTAGATCCAGAGGCAAGAAAATACCTATGTAGAGAATTTCCTCAACGTTATCGATGGCTGACGGCTACAAAAACTTGGAGAAAAAGGATGAGTACATAAAGAGTGATAGGTAGAATCTATACAGCCTCACCAATGGAAGGAGAAATATTTTTCTTACGTTTGTTGTTGGATCATGTTAAAGGCCCCGAATCATTTGAGCATCTACGAACTATCAATGGAATTGTTTATTCTACTTTTAGAGAAGCAGCTGAAAAACTAGGTCTTATGGAGAATGATGCAAGCATTCGTGATTGTTTGCATGAAGCATCAAACTCTAAAATGCTATCTTCATTAAGAAGATTGTTTGTCACGTTGTTGGTTTATTGTCAACCAACTGGGGTTCGATCTCTATGGGATGAATTTTATCATTACATGGCTGAAGACTACTTATATTCAACTTCAACAAATCCAGATCTGGTACGTGATTCAGTTCTCTATGACATCGATCGCATGTTAAAACAATTAGGAAAGAGTGTCAATGACTTTGACTTACCTAAAATAAACATGCGATTGGATGGAAATGCACAAGTACCTAGAGCCATACATGATGAATTATCAGCTCCAGTGCCCCCTGAAGATGTGCATTGTGCTGAGCATCTTAATGACGACCAACGCTCTTCATTTGATATCATTATGGAAGCTATTGATGCAGAGAATGGTCGAATTTTCTTTATAGATGGTCCAGGTGGGACAGGTAAGACTTATCTATATCGAGCCATACTTGAAACAGTCAAGCTTAGAGGGAAATATGGATTACCAGTAGCCAGCTCAAGTATTGCTGCCACACTTTTGCATCGAGTAAAAACCGCTCATAAAACTCTTGGTATTCCGGTTACGCTGCATGCTTCGTCAACTTGGAAGTTTAGTAATCAAGATGTAGAGGCGCAATTGGTCAAGTATGCGGCTGTCATAATATGGGATGAAGCAACAATGACTCATCGACATGCGTATGAAGCAATTGATCGTAGTTTAAGAGATCTAACAGGGGTTGATGTTCCATTTGGTGGCAAGGTCGTAGTGTTTGGTGAAGATTTTAGACAAATTTTACCCGTTGTACCAAAAGGAACAAAGGCTCAAACTATAGATGCGTGTTTGGTCAGGTCAACACTTTGGACACATGTTCAGCTACTTCGTCTCACTCAAAATATGAGATCAATACATGATCCGGAATTTGCAGCCTTTCTTTTAAGAGTTGGAGATGGATGTGAGCCTATAGTTGATGAACACATGATAAAGTTACCATCTTCAATATGTGTAGGAAATGGTGATCAAATTTCAATTGATAATCTAATCCATCAAATATTCCCAAACCTAACTGAGCACGTAGGTGATGTGTCATACATGGTACAAAGAGCTATTATAACTCCAACAAATGACGAAGTTGACATGCTGAATGAGAAGATACTTAAAGAGTTTGCCGGAGAAGAAAAAAACTTTTACTCCTTTGACTCTGTTCCAGAAGATCGTCAAAATCTCTATCCACAGGAGTTCTTGAATTCATTATCCTTTGGTGGTTTGCCACCACATATTCTTAAGCTGAAATTTGGCTCGCCAATCATGCTTTTGAGAAATATTGATACAAGCAGTGGATTGTGTAATGGGACAAGGTTAATATGTAGTTGGTTAAGGGATCATGTGATTGAGGCTGAAATTTTGACCGGAAGTCATAAAGGGACACAAGTGTTCATTCCATGTATGACTTTAAAAACGGCAGAAGATGTGAAGTTGCCATTTGAAATGATCCGAAAAACAATTTCCTGTGAAATTGTGTTTTGCTTTGACCATAAACAAATCGCAAGGGCAACCATTCCTCATGTTGGTATATATCTCCCCCAACATGTTTTCAGCCATGGACAACTATATGTTGCACTATCGAGAGGGACCTCACAAGAAACAAAAAGAGTTTTTAGTTAGCAAAAGAGATACTCGAGGTAGATGTGGTGTATTTACAAAAAAACGTAGTTTACAAAGAAGTGCTCCTGCCTCATTTGCCACAACCCTAATTATCAGGTATTATCATAAATATTATACATGCATTGGTAACTTCCGATAGTCATAATTCATAATTTTCTATATTATACATGCATACAGAGCTTCTTAAGTCATAAATATCTATGAAATGACTTCTTTATCCTCTTATCAGGGAGCAAGCTAAGCGTGACAAAAGTCAACAACTAAGCATCAAAAGTGCATGGAAGCAAAAACATCTCATGCTATTCTTGAGGATATTTGTTTTTATGTTTTTAATATTGTAATTTTATTACAACATTATCTCCAAGTATATGTAGTATATGTACAATTTGTATGCGTAAATAATTTCGACTCTTGATATTCATAAAATATCATGTATGTATTTCATATTTTGTGCATGCATGGCGTGCATATCTGAGCTTGTAGGACTTTAAAGCCCCCTCATCAGCCAGACGGTCCAATAGCCGCCTGAGGCTATATCAGCCATTGTTGTCATGGCCGATATCCTCATGGAATTGACAGTACTTGCTCTTGTCCCGGCTGTTGATGGGGCTCTTCATTGCTGCCGGTTTTTAAAGGGTCAAACGGTCTTTGATCTCCATGAGGATGGAGGAGCAGTCCTTGTTGAACTCGTACATGGGGACGTACGACTTCAACTCTCTCTTTTTCTTTTGGGACGGCAGACCAGAACGGTCCGCCGCCCAAACTTCTTTTCTTTTCTAGCTTTTTTTCTTTTCTGGGCGGCTGAGCAGACCGGCTCTCTTTCCTGTCGGACCTTTTAGGTTCTGACGAGTGCTTGATGGCACAAAGCTCTGTCGCCTGTATGTAGGCTTCGGCTTCCATCAATGCCTCTTGGAGGTGATAGGACGTCGTCAACCTATCAAGAAATAAGACCTAACTCGATCCTTCTAAACTAGTAGCAAGGGCAAGAAAGGGTCGAACCCATGAGAGGCGTTGAATCAACCACCAAATGTTATTTTTTAAACAAGCTAGATTAAGTCGGGGGTTTTAAGTTGGTATTACGTCACACTATTCTAATTCAAATCAACTAATTCTAAGAGGTGATTAACAATATTAAGAAGGCCTAGGGCATGGGTTACACCACTGAACTTCATCACGGACCACAAGTAGCATGCATAGAAATGGTGATTTAGGGGATAAATTAGGGAAGTTATCAAATGCACCCAACTACTCTCTCAAGCTAAAGGGATTACTACATCAAAACCATAACCTACTCTCGTGATTATGGGCAAGAAACAAGTGTTAAAACATCCTCACGATAACATGCAAATTCCCTTGACTAGAAATTCCTATTCTCATGGCAAATCAAGTCAATCAAGCATAAGGGAGCTTCCTCAAGTTCATCTCTCGATCCTTCGTTGAGGAAGCTAGATAAATAATTCAAGCAATGGCCAATTACAAGAATTAACAATGAAACCTCTTAAACTCAACTAATTAACACCCCACAATTAACAAATTAGTACATGCAACAAGTGTTGGTGATTACATTGAGGGTTCACCCAAACCCTAGAAATTAGACTACTCACAATCCATGGAAGTTAAAGCAATTAAAGATTTCAAGGAATTCATGAACAAATTAAAACTAAGAATTAAGTAGAATCTAACAATTAAACATGCAAAGAACAACCAAACAATTAATAAAAAGCAAGAATTAAAGATAGAAGAGAGAAAGAAAGAGTAAGAAAAATTACTAGAAACTTCAATAATTGACTAACAATGGTGGAACTTGTCTTCTATAATGATTGGATTGAAAACCTTCAAAACAAGAACTAAAATCTATGCTAATTTGAGGATTTTTGTGTCTCAAACTAAGAGGAGTATGAAAATCTGGAAAAAAGAATTGGGAACCCCTCTAAAATGGTCCAAAGGGGCTATTTATACTACCCCCTAAAATAAGAGGACGGAGAAAACAACGGGTAAACTGTAGGTTTGCACGGACGTCTGAAGTTGGCACGTCCGTGCAGACCAAGGCAGAAACTCAGTTTAAGACGACCTGCTGCAGCACGGGCGTGCACCTTTGGCACGTCCGTGCTGCATCATCTGCACGGACGTGCAATATTTGGCACGTCCGTGCTGCCTCATAATCACGGAAGCACGTCCGTGCTGCATCATCTGCACGGACGTGCAATATTTGGCATGTCCGTGCAGGCCTTGGCAGAAAGATGGGTTCAGGTCTGCACTCCTGCACGGACGTGCAACATCTTGCACGGCCGTGCAGGGTCTTCTGGGTCCTTTTCTTCGTGTTTTCTTCTACGATGCTCTTGTACTTGGATTCATTCCATCATTTCCTTTCTTCTAACCTCGGTTTGGTAACCATGGGCTTCATTTGGTCGTCTTTGGACCTAAAATCTCAACAAAAACACTAATAACCGGTTGAAGCATAGGATACACAAAAATTGCATAATAATAGGGTAAAAGTGAACCAAAAACACAAATTTGTTCAGGTAAACTAGGTTCAAATACGCCCTAAAAATCGCATAAAATAGCAAGTTATCAAATCCCCCCAAGCTAAGCTTTTGCTCGTCCTCGAGCAAACTAGTCATGACAAAACAAATAGAGGGAACTAACTTGTTATAGAAGGTTGAAGCAAAAGTTAAACCAAGAAAGGGTAGGCATACACAATAAACCGAACGATCACTTTTAGCAAAAGTGAGAAGCCGTTTAAACCTACAAGTCGCCTAGTAGGACGAGTCCATCTCTCGTGAGGGTTTCCAAAGAGAATCACCCACAACTCCCACAAACACAACACACGATTTTTTTTTTTTTTTTT